GTGGGGGTGGGGGGCATGTGAGGAGGTAGGCATGTAGCGAGAGGGAGCTGGGCTGGGCTGGACTGGGGGCATCGGCATTCGTTTTGTTCGGGTTACCTTTCATTAAAATAAAACCTGAGATTGAATGGACACAATGGCAGTTCGTTTCCCTTCTCTCTCTCTTTTCCCCCCCTGTGTATGTGTATGCGTATGTGTATATGTATGTGTATATGTATGTGTATGTGTATGTGTATGTGTGTGTATGTGTGTGTATGTGTATGTGTATGTGTATGTGTATGTGTATGTGTCTCCTGCCGGAATATCCCGGGTTCTATACCGGGTAAACTTCTTCAACCGTCAGCGGTTCGTCTCCCCCTCTCTCCCCGCGCCCCCGGGATCACGGCACGGGAAATTTCGGCGGTTGGTACTTCGGGAAGCATTTGGCCGGTCGACCCCAGTGCTTCTTGGTTCATATATATGTATAAAAATAATACATATGTATGTATGTATGTTTTAACCCTCCACCCCCACCTCCCTTCGTCTGTGCTTCGTCGTAACCCCTTCATCCCCAACCCGCTTCCCTTCGTCACGGTGTTGCAGCTGATATCTCGCTCCAGGGCTCTCCAGGCGGTGCTGGCGGTGGACATGGCGGCGCTGCTGCTCTACAACGTGTCCGGAATGGCGGTGACGGGGCACCTGGGGGCGGTGTTCAGGACGGTGCTGGAGACCATGCGCACCCTTTTTGTGTGGCTGGTGAGGACCGGAGGGGTGCTGGGAGGGAGAGGGAGGGGGACGGCGGGAGGGAGCGGGCCCTATGTATGTATGTATGTATGCATGTATGTATGTGTGTGTGGGGGGGGGGCCCGGGCCCGTGCTCCAGGGTCCTGGGCCTTTGGGGCCACCTGGTCCAGTGGAGCTGTTGGATGTGCATTTACCGGATTGAAGGGGAGGAGAGAGATATGAGGGGGGGGGATATGCGGGCCGGCATGAGTGCTGCTAAGAAGACGAGTTAAAAAGACGAGTTAAACATTCGGCATCTAACGGAAATAAATACGCACATTGTGTAGGGGGTCAGAAGAGCCACCGGGACGGCGAGGGGCATCATGGAATGTCCTCAGCTCCACCCCCTTCATGTGCTGCCAAACAGGTCGTCTATTAGCAGCAAAGCAACAGCGAGTGAGGCAATGGCTGTGTCGGTGTTGCAACGGGTTACTTCCCATGGCAGCTATACCCGTCCTGGCAGCCCCTCTCCCATTTCGCTCCATTGAATTGTCAATCGATTGTTATCGTGTTCAGGATAATCCGGGCCCCCCCCCTGCCGTACAACTCCCAGGTTGACTTGCTGTTGTTCTACACGCCGCTGGGTATGGGTCAGCTGGGGGAGCGATGGACCGTGTACTCCTGGCTCCAAGCGGCGGGCTTTGTGGTGCTGGTCTCGGGGACACTGGTGTACAGGTGTGTGCGTGTGTGTCCGGTGTGTTTTTACCCGCGCCCCACTCGCCTGTCCGTCAGCCCGCATCCCCTCTTACCACTCACCTTTGCCTCCGCGAGACTCGGCCACTCTCCAGATGTGATTCGGACGCCCTGAGCAGCTCTTTTTGCAACTTTAGACGTCAGCCGGCAGTGGCTTTTCCTTTCATGACATCAACATGGGTTTTTATCTAGATGCATGTACCATATAACTTCCAAAACTTCCCCCATTCTTCCCATCTCTTTCATCACCTCACGGGCGTGCCATACTTCTTTCCACAGCGATCAAAAGCTCAGCTCTTCCTGCTCCAATCCAACCCATCCAACCATCCAGCTCCCACCCGCGATCCTCAGCTGTCTGTTCATTCTTTCGATTACACGGAGGTGTATGTGAACAACGTGCGCTGCAGCAGCCGTTGCATTGCAGCAAATGTTAAGGATTGCAGTGGAACGATGCTATAGGCTATAGGGGAGGTCCTCGGGGGATTTCGTTCTGGAAAACAGCGGTCCCACGTGTGGACATCATCCGCCGTGTGCTGTGCTGTGCTGTGCTGTGCGAATGTGGTGTGGGGGAGGCGTTCAACACCGCATAGCATAATAAGATTTTTAATCTTGAACCCATCCCCGGACGCGCAACACGCACACGCACACGCACCCGTTGGTTTCTCTTGGGGTTTCCCGAGCACGGCCCCTCCCGGGCCCCCCACCTTTTCGCTCAGGCACGGTGATCACGAGGCCAATCGGAGGCTGCTGGCAGAGGCCTTGGCACTGCGAAATGCGGAGGCGCCGCTGGAGGAAGAAGCGGCGGAAGCTGGCGCGCCGTACGGCAGCGGCGCTGGCGCGGCGGCGCCGCTGCTGACGCCCTACGTGGCCGCGATGTCGTCGCCGCTCACCATGGCAGGTTACGGCCCCTCGGCGGCGTCGCAGCCTATCGATGCTATGGGGGATTCTATCAGCCGCATGTCGTTCAGGGCGACGCAAACGATTGTGTCTGGGTCGTACAGCAGGTATGTACGGGTATAATGTACGTACGAACACATGCAATTTAGGTCATATCCGGCTTGCTTTCCCCGCTGCCTGGGTTTGTCTTCAGTTTTTAACGTTTGTCTTCAGTTTTTAGGATGTGTCGCTTCAGGCACCTCGTCATTTGCCACAGGCCATGGCCGCGGAGGTGTTTCCGAAGCGTGCCTCAGTAATGCAACCTACACCAGTTGGCCTCTCTCTTGCAGAGGCCTCCCTCTTTACGTCCGTCCATCGGCAGAGGCTGATGAGGCTGGAAGATCATCTTCAGAATCCCCTGGATCTGCTCGGGGCCCCCCAACCTTCTCCCCCCTTTTTCTCGTTACACTATTGTTTCTTCCTTTCCTGACCCTGCACCTGACTACACACATATGCTGTGATCACACACACATACTGACGCATGGGATTATTCTGTACGACATTTCGTTTTTCAGGTCGCTTCAAGCGGGTTCGTACTTGTCGCGCTCGCCGTGGATTCATCGGGGTGGTGGCGGCAACGGGCAAATGATTGGTCCGGACGATTAGCTGGTGGCGTATCAGTAGGGGAAGAAGCTGTGACATGCACATTTGTGCATGTAAATGTAAAGTATGTATAAAAGATTGTGAATGGGTGGTTTTCTGCAGATATATACAGATAGGTAGGATATATGCAATTGTTTGTTGATAAGACATGTGTATGGGTGAGTATTTAAACGTTGTCCAGTGAGTGAGACAAATATGGATTACATACAATTTTAGAATCATTTAATGGAGTTTCCTTAATGACATGTTCCTTGTTTAACATCTTCATCTCTTTTTTTTGGGGCATTAGCAACATCATAATCACCAACTAGATGTTTCGAGTCCACTTCCGTCACTATTTACATGTTTACCAAACGTGGCTTATTCAAGAAAGAAAACTCCTTTCCTCCCACCCACCCCAATCATTCCGACTCAATGCCTCCCCATCGCTTCCCACTTCGGTAATCTCGTTACTCAACAGCTCTATGCGTATAATCTACCAGCCAAGTATACGCACGCCAGGTATTCAGACGACCTAGGCGCAAGTTTACATGAAGTAGAGGACGTTGGACAGGTCCCGGTGAATGCCGGCGAAAGTAGCAGGAGCGCTGGCGCCACCCTGACCGGCCCGCATGGACCCGGCCTCCGACGCCGTGTCCGATGCAGACGACGTCGCCGCCTGCAGCAGGATTAACATGAATTTAGTACCGTTTATCAACTTTTACCCCAAACCCCAAGCGCAAGATTATTTTCAACTGTTCAGCCGTCTTTTTCTCCAGAAGAGACTCCCTAGGAATTTCGCACTACACTCCCGGTGGCCTTTCTCATCAGCGAAACATAACAGGACACGCACTCACCAGGAGGGTTCGGCCCCGGAAGGCGGCGCGGTCGGCGTAGTACGCCGGGGGGCAATAGCTGACTGACCTGAGGGATGAGTGTCGTACACAACAACATATTACAGAGGAAGCCAACAAGGATGAGCTCAGGCAGCCTTTTGTGTAGGATACCACCCTCCTGTACACAACATACAACAACCATGCGCAAGGAGGGCTACCTGACCGTATTATTCACCAACCTGGTCCTGACCAACTCACTTGGTGGTACGCTGATACAGATAGCACAGCCAGTAGGTAAGCAGCTCGACGCCATCCGCGCCGAAGCCAATCTCGTCAATCAAGACGTGGTAGTGGGCGGGCTTGTTGGTGCCCTGCGGAGCTCGAATGTGTGTGTGTTGGGGGGAGGGGGGACGCCACCATGCAGTGCAGGAAATGAGGAAGACGCTCGCCAGTATCACACGTGTTTCCCCGTTGCCCTATAGCAGTCAGCAAACCCATGGCACCCATGATCAGAAATGGGAAGGGACACACACTTGACCAGGTAACTGGAAACAAACATTAACCAGGTCGTCAAACACACTACATAATCACTCCGCGTGCAGGGAGAGGCCAGAAGGCAGGACCATCCTTCCGTCCGCTCATGCAACTCAGCCCTAACTCAGACACGACCCGCACCTGGAGACCGGCGTGCGAGTTGAGGTAAAAGTCAAAGCCATCCGGTGCAACGATACCCTTGTCTACCACTGTGCCGGGCAGCACGTTGCCCCTGCGCATGGGCACAGGAGGGGGGACAATAACGAGATAACATTAGGGGGCAGAATCAACAGTGGACAAGAGAGGCGAAGGGGAGGGCGACTTGGAAAGGAAATGAAAACAAACGGCGAGATGACCTCTTGACTACACACTACACACAGTCCTTTACAATCAAGCACCATGACAGACAGCAACATATTGCGACCCGAAACCCTCGCACGATCTCCTGACAGATCTCAGGCCTCTCTCAATAATGATTGTGGGTCTTGAGCCTTCCCTTCGGTCGCGCTTTTGGCTGTCTAGTTGACTTGCGTTATCTCACCTGGGTGGTAGTCTAGTTTGTATATTAGGTTCTAATGCAGTGCAAGGCCAGCTGGCCTGCTGGCTCTACTCTTCGTGAGTCTGGAGCCCACTGTAACAACCACACACACACACACACACAGTGACACCGCTCTCTAAACAGCAGGCACTGCTACTATTACTACTGCCACCGCGTTGCACACTAATGCACTCACTTCTGGTCCGAAGCCGCGCCGTCGGCCGGCAGCAGCCGGGTGTTATGGCGCTTCTGCACCACAATGAACGTGATGGCGGGCCTGTAGCTCTCCTCGAGCTCGCGGCAGGCCTGCGGGAAAAGGAAAAAAATAAACCCCAAATGTCTCTTCACCCCTCTCCAAAATGTCACAGGGGATTATGGGACGAAACAAATAGGGGACGAAACACGCATGACACCCGTCACCGCTGCGCTTCATGTCAGTGTACCTCACCCGGTTCCTGCCAGCCAGGAGTCCCCTTGCACACATGATGTCGCCAATGACTTCTAGTCACCCATACCACCTCCAACCTCACCTTCCGGATAGCCATATACTCCTCAGCCAGGACCTGGTCGAACTGGCCTTCGGATACACCGTCGCGGTACATCACTAGACGCTGGGGCTTAGTGTTCCTGGCAGAGCGGCGGACAGGCAGATGGAGGCGACAAGGACATCCGAGGGATGAGGACGTGAGAGGGAAGGAAGGAGAAAAGACCGCACTGACGATATGCAGAGAGACGCGGTAATCTGGGACACGACACAGTGCAGCACACATACAGCACAAAGGGCGCAGAGGCAAGCGCAACAAGGGGGCCTGCCCAGGGAGATTCAATTATACAGCCCTCCCATCCACTACCATTCACTACCTGGGCCCATTCCCGAAAGCCCACCTGTTGGCCCGGTAGAACTCCAGCAGAAGCTCCTTGGTGGCGGTCGCCATGCCCGTGATCACCTCCTGGCGGCCCGTCTGCAGCAGCACGCGGGAGCCCCAGCGACCCATGCTCTGGTCCAGGGAGGCCACCACCGCAGCCACCGAGGGGTCCCGCACGTCCGCTCGGGCCGCCGCCCCCGTGGGGTGCGTCACGTCCGCACCCATGATCATGAAGGGGAGGGCACCCTGGCCGCCAAGCACCGGCAGGTAGCTGGGAAGAGAGCGGGCGGGCAAGGAGGGAGAAGGTAAGGCGGGGAAAAGCGTGGTTAATTGTTTTGGAGTTTTATGTTTGCACACCAGCCAGGAAAGACAGGCGTCCCTGCTTGGACAGCACTTACTCCTCGCATACCAGGGAGGCCCCCCCCCACACACACACGTTAGGCAACTACTCAGCACGTACATATATCAGCAAGAACACAACCAATAGCCACATACCGGAGGCCGCCCGAAAGGGTCACGTTGACGCCACCCAGCTTGTTGTTAATCTTCATCGCCACGTTGGCGCAATACTGCGGGCCGCCGCCCCTGGGCCCAGCCTTCGGGCCCACCTTGGCCTGGAGGCGGCATATGCATGAGGTTTGAAAGCAGGCAAGAGAAGGTTGTAGGCATGGACAAATACACAAGACACAGTCCGTAGTACAGGCCGGCCAGCAAACAGAGGGCCCCGGCACTATGACATAAACATAAGCATGGCTTGGGAGTATTTGCAAGCAGCTGCAAGAGCTCAACCGTATCGGGCTTTTGTTGCTGGATCGCACTCTAGGGGCCCCTAGAGTGCTGTATGGACCTTCGCAATCACAAAGCGGACGTGCCTAGGGGCCATCTGACACGTTACCCATGCCACAGTGACTGGCGGTAACTGGCTCACCTTGCTGCCCGCCACAACTTGCGACGGGATGCCCAGCTCGATGTCCGACACCCGCTTGATCTCACGGTACTCGTCCGTGAGCTGTGGGCAGGTGTGGAGACCGGCAAGACCGGCAAGGATAAGTGCTTTATGTGGCCGCATATGGCTGCTACATATGGCATATAACGGCTGAACAAAGAACGACCATCACAATAAAAGAGTGTCCGTTCTTTCTCTCTCTCTTTCCCTCTCTCTTGCTCTGGAAAACACTGACAAGGAGCAAAAGATTGTGATTCAATTGAATTTTCATTCATGCGTGAAAGTTAAAAACGAAAGGCGGGCAGCCCAGAATGCCGAAAATCGCAAGACGGCAACTTCCCCACACTCAGCAGAACATGGCGATGAGAAACTAAGGCCCCGTCCTACTGCACCTCTGGCCACTCACGCTTTCAGGCAGGATAACCAGCAGCAGCTTAGCCGGCTTCTTGTATCTTTTCGCAGCCGCCTCGGCCGCCGACCGCATCGCGTTCTCAATGCCACGGTTGGGAATCTCCCGGCCCATCTGAAACACGACCGGTGGGGCAGCGTCCGAGCCGCGGCGCACCGGGTCCACCTACGCAGTAGCAGGACGACCGCAGGCAGCAGAGGGAATCTTACCCACCAACCCGCGATGGCAAAACTATCACAACGCTGGTATGCATGACCAGGTCATCACGATCCAACAGGACAAGCGGAATCAGGTAGCAATGTAAGAATAAAGCAACACCATGGAGTACCATGTAACCGTCGCCATATTACTACTTAATATTCTACCATGATCTGTCGACGGCAACTCTCTACGAGGGAGGGAGTAGCTCTCCCTCCCGAGTGGCCAGTCCCCGGTGTTGGTGTACAACCTGGACCTCCGCAAACTGCACAGCCCACTCGCCCTAACCCTGAAACCCATCACTGCACCCTGCCGCACTCTTCTAACGTACACGCGCTACACTCACCACTGCCATGCCGCACTTGCCCATGTTGTCGCACATGTCAATCAAAAAGTCCCACAGGGAGTACTCCCCGTCAAAGTCGACTTCCTGCGGTGAGAAGAATGAATTGTCGCATAGGACGGTAAGGGCTCAGTACGCAGCAGGTGAAAGTGCCTTCATGTGTGTGTCCCTGATAGGGTTCCCCAGAAGAAAGTCCAGGCCAACAGAAACACACACGTGCACGTACGCTTAAAAATTGCTTACAAACCAGGTGGTAACAGACATGGACTGACTTAGTACTACGAGAACACCTGATATGGTCCCGCTTAGCGCCCTAGGTAGGGCTGGCCAACCTTGACACGTATTCACACGTTATGTACGCGCACGTCTCCTCCCGGCCCTCGCTACGACCACCTCTCTCATTCTCCCGCCCTCTCGGCTCACCTCCTTCGGGATGCAGCACACCACCGCCCAAGAGTCCAGAGCCCGCGCCTCGTGGAACTTGACATCCCTGTGGCTCGTTCGTGGACACGGCGCATAAGGAGCAAGTTCAGCTGATGAAATTAACAGAGGCGACGGTTTTGCTTTTTCTATTCCGGCTAGGGTGGAGTTGCTTGATGCCACTATTAAAGTTCATTCAACTGGGCGAGCGTTAGCCTTTCCAAGCTCCGCGCAACAAAACACAGACCTACGGATAGGCAGACGGACAAATACAAACACTGTAGACAGGCACGGACGCACGGACACGGCATGAACATAAGAGAGTGTTCCAAAGCAAACCTGGGGAACACAGCAACCCCACACGCGACACGGATTAAAATTGCACGGGAATGTTGCGCGCACCTCAGGTTCCAGGAACCGTTGGGGCCCACATCAAAGCACACCGGGGAGCCGTACTGCAGTACGGGAGTGGGCAGCAGTCGGCCCGGCAGGCGCATCAAATCTGTGTTGAGTTTGAGGCCCCACTTGGCCTCCGTGCCACTGCCTTGCAGGGTGCTCTGGACTCGGCGCGCCTGGGATACACGGTGAAAGGGACGGACAGACAGACAGACAAGCGCTCCCGGTGAGAATGCGAGGGTAGATCAGTCCTGAAGCGCCAAAAAATGCGGCGGTTCCTTTCAGGACATAAAAAGACCCCTCTGCTCCTGATCGCCGGCCGGGCCGTGGCCTAGCGGCAACATACTGCAACAGCAGCCATTTCCTCGCTGCTGCAGCACAACAACACCAGCTGTCAAACCTAGGTTGATGTATGCACGCACGGCATCCATCCATCCCTCTTGGGGCTCCAACGACATACGCTCTAATGACACGGGTCCTACCTGAACCACCACAGCGTCACCCTTGGTCCGTGGATCTTGCTTGGCCGCAGAAATCATCCCGGCAGACTGCTTCGCGTCCAGCTTCATGCGCCGCTGGCCCGCCACCACCCTGCAAGTCAGGACGCAAAATAAGCAGTGAGGCACCGTTCGTCCTCTCACCTAGCCACCCGACTCCAACCAGGGTTCCAACAAGACAGCCCCGAGAGGACTCTTTGTAACACAGCAAAGGCGTAACCCGGGATGCTCAGATTGGCCTTTTGCGTCGTTACACTCTTCCTTACGTGCAGAGCTCCACTGGTATGTAAGTAGGCTTCATGCGATTGCCGACATTTGCGCACGGCAGGTTGGGGTATCGCAGAGGACGGCCGGTGGACTTGAAGTACTCCGCAACGCTCATCGACCTGGGGGGCGGCCCGCGGCAACATGAAGCGTGCAGAGGGCGGGCGTCAAGGCTTGGAGTCGGACATGAATGAAGAGCGTCGCGACAAATTGAAGGCCATCGTGGATGTCATTCCGACACACAAGACCAAACGAAAAAAAGCGAGGCCGAACAAAACCAACAGCAGAAAACGCGCCGGTGCAAGAGTGTGAAGACGCACACGCACACATACAGACACGTGCACACGCGCGCGCGCCAATGCACGCACACATGGCCGTGGTCAGTTGGACGGACAAGCCCGCTACGCCTCCTCATTGTCGCAAGAATCGCACGCATGCGCGATAACAACATGCACGCACCTTCCCTCCGCCTCGTTGTGGAACATGGTATTCGCGGCTCCCTGCTCGCTGAGGCCGATCATGGGCTTCTTCCGCAAGTGGCCACCCTTCATGGGGAAGGTCACCTGCAGCATGCAGGACAGCGGGAAAGGAAGGAGGGAAGACGAACCACAGACGAGTGATGCTTGATGCCAGAGGTAACGGGAAAAGGAAAGGGGGAAGCTTCTTCAGTGTGCAAGAAGGGGGAAAGAACAAAGTTAGCCATTGCATGCATGGGCGCACAGGAAGTGGCAGACAGAAGACATCAAGAAATGGCTGGTAGGATCGTATGGAAAATCCAGAAGTAAAATTATGGACTTGCCAAGTCGCAAGCAACAGTTGGGGCAAATTGCCCTGCCCATCGGTTGCCACCTTCCCGCGGTCGGGAAAGGCAACAAAGGGAATTCCTTCCACCAGTCGCCTTTGCTAGCCCCCAAGATGAGATCCAAAGGTACACACAAGAAAAAGCAAAGAAACCAAAGCAAGCAAGCAAGCAGCGCAGCATCGCAAGGACTACGAGCAACAACGCTCTCAAAAGGTACCTGGTAGCTGGTACAATCCCTTCGGAGCCGCGCATATTCGCATCAACCTGCAGCACATACCTTGAACCCGGACAGGTTCCTGGCGGCCGATCGGAGCCGACTGGGGTCTACTCGGGACAAGTCCCGGGTATTGCACATCTCGGCGAGCAGCTCAGGAAGCGACCGCTCTGACATGAACGCCGCAAACGAGGAGTCCAGGTTAAGCATGAGGCCAGACTCGACCAGCTTGAAACTCTGCTGGAAGCCTTTCCAAACTTCAGCACCGCCCGTCAGCGGCTCGACGCCATCGCCGGGGTAGTAGTAGCCACGGCCCAGCACGGTGCACAGCGGGTCTACCGCGAAGGCATGCCGGATGACGACATCCAGCACCTGACGGAACATAAAAGTGAAGACCCAGAGAACACATGTGGGAAAGGGTGGCGATTTTTCAGAAACAGTGCACACGTCGTGTCTGGTGTTTGGAACTTCCAGTAGAGTTCCAAGCGCAGAATTCAAAAACAAATTTCCAGCGGACCCCTCGAGCTCCTTCCGTCTGGCAGCTTCCTAATCGCTGTGTCACACAGGCACAGGTTTAAAGTAACTGGGGCGATTTTCCTTTTATCTTGCACGCACCTGCATGGCGTCACGCGGCGCCTGCTGCTGCTGCTGAGCCAGATACGCCTGCAGACTCGATAGGTCCACCACGTTGACATGCTTGGTCGTCACCTGGGGGTGGGTGCGACGACAAAAACGGTGGGACATTGCCGAATGGGGTCACGAGGGACGGGACGGACCGCCCAGAGGGAGCGACTGCAAATCGTTGGGGGAACGAAGGGGGATAAGACGAACCACAAACGAGTGTAGCAAATACCAGATATATTAAGATGGATACTCTAGGATTGGACAGATACTGCAAGAACGAAAAAGGGAAATGAGACGATGATCGGACTATGAGGTCAAGTCTGGACATAAGTACATGGCGGTCAAACCGTAAGCCGACATCCCCGTGAGGATGTTTGAATACTCCAGAAACAGCGTAAGCCAAAGCGCAGTTTTGAAATAGGTTATGCGTGTTTGAATTTAAGCCATTTCAAGCAGGAGGGACATTTTCAAGACATACGCGTCCGAGACACTCACCACGAAGGACTTAGTCTTATCTCCGCGGTCGCCCTCCCTGGGCGGCAGCGTCACCTTCCACTCCCGGACCTCAGGCGGAATACCCTGCGTGCGTGTACGCACGTATGTATGTGTGAAACAGGGGGGTATATCTTCATCCGGGGCAGCTACCTGCGAAACCCTGCCTTCCCCGGTATTTCGGGGCACCCTTATCCAGTCACCCTTGCCAACTTCTCAGCGGATCGCTCAGGTTCCGCACCCACCACCAGCATCCAACGGAATATGCCGGGTCGACAGCGGCCCAACTCCATGCCTGGTCGGCTCGCAGGTTAACTTCCCAGGTCACCACCGTCCATCAACTAGGGGCGCAGTACCTACCACCATCGGAAGGATTTTCGACCCTGATAGGTCTCGATCCCGGGATCTCCCGGGTGCAGTGGTCGCGCGTTACCAGTAGTGCCTAACCTGATATAAATACGCACGTATGTATGTACGTTATGTGTGCAGGAGCGCAGTGGAGGAAGGGGTGACCGGTGGGGCTTTACTTGTGGGGCTTTACTCAACCTCAATCCAGACCAAAGCCTTACCTATATCCTCATGCCCTTCTGACATTCACGAAGCCCCAGCCCAACCCACCTGGCCTGGGAGATACAGGTTCTTGCGCCCATCGAAGCGCCATGCGCCGTCCGGCCACTTGTATTGCGTGGCCGCGGCTTTGAGCACGCGATGGGCAAGGCGTGGGGGCAGGTCCTCACCCTCAGCCGCGGCCTCCGGACCGGCTGGTTCTGGAGCCACACCACGACCACCACGGCCACCGCCACGGCCACCGCCACCACGGCCGCCGCCTGACAGCGATACGATACATTACACATTAAACGTGTGCAGTAGGCACACAGAACAATTTCACTATGCGCGAAAAGGAAGGGTACGCCAACGAGGGTTGACTTTTTCTATGGAGCACGCTAGTCTGCACCAAACACCACACAGATGTCGGTTACGTTTTACTTCTGGAACCATGGGTCAGTGACTTCATCGCGCTGGACTCATGCTGCCCGTGCTGCTGTAGTAATACGATTGGAAGCAGCTTGCACATTCAAGTAACCGTTCCTTTCAAACTTCCCTGAAAACCAACTTGAAAGTTGCACATCACTCCTGGCCCCTCACCTCCCATGCGCGCCTCCTCAACTGACTTGATCGTTACATCGTAATGATACGCCTGCAGTACAGTGGAGGCGACGACGAGCCAGCCCAAGAGCAGTTTTCAACAAGGCAAAGCAGTGACCTCCCATCCCAAAGGCCTACTAATCATCACTAGACACCACATGGGAATCCGCCCCCTTAAGACGCGCATAAATACAGCGGCTCGAAAAATAATGCTGCGGCAACAGTAGTAGTGTAGATGTACATCATGCATGCTTACCGCGCGCGGGAACCCGGGCGCCGTCTGCAGTCGGAAGTAGTTGGCAAACAGGTTGACTGCTCGCCCGACTGTGCCCTCGTTTGGTCGGCGTGTGATGCTCATCGGCCGACCCTCGGAATTGATGTCCACCTAAATGTCATGATGGGGGGGAAGGGGAGGGGGGGAAAAGGGGGGAGAGGGAGGAGGATGGGAACACGCGGTGAGGTAGGTGGGTTGGGACAGGGGCATTAATGTACGCGAGGGATGGGGGCTGCTGGTTAGGGGGTACAAAGGGTTAATGGCAGGTGAGATTATGGGGGAGACCGCACTGGGGAGAAAACAAATGGCAAGATTAGTGGTACGACTGGTTGTTCGACTATTATAGGTTGGATACCCAAAATCAATAAATCGGGTTGCTCGGGTTGCTGTCCAAATGTAGAACAGCTCGAGGCGGAGTCCGAGGGCAGACATTGAGGCGCCTAAGGCCAAGACCCGGAAAAACGTTAAATATGAACGACAGAACCGGTCGTAAACATTAATAATTGCGCAGGAAAGGCATTCTGCGCAGGAAAGGTAGTCTCGTAATTTGGTTGACGACTATTTCGAGGAAGACGTGCGGGAGGGAAGCCACATGACAGGACCTTCACCCACATTGACGTTAGCCCGCATGTTACGGGCTGTTCGCAGCACGGCATCCAGCATCGCCGCGCCCTCCTGCGGGTTCAGGACGCCACCGCCACCACCACCGCCGCCTCCTGTCATGGGGATGTGAATTTCGAAGCGATGTCAGCACACATCAGCAGGCATGGGCATTAAGTCATACGCGGTAAGGCTGAAACAGGTCGAGGACTTGGCCCGAAGTATTATTGCTCGAACCGATTTCCGTGCTGGAGACATGTTGGTAAAAATGCAAAAGGTCGCTCATCATCTTCCTCGCTGTGTGCAGCCCTACCGCGTCCACCGCCGCCGCCGCGTCCGCCACCACCGCCACCCCGGCCTCCGTCAAATCCACCACCTCGGCCTCCACCGCCGCCGCCCCTTCCGCCTTCATAGCCGCCGCCACCGCCTCCGCGGCCGCCACCATATCCTCCGCCACCACCGCCACCGCCACCGCCGTATCCTCCGCCGCCACCGCCGCCGTACGCGCTGCTAGGGCGGCTGCCGCCCCCTCCCTCACCCCTGTAACCGCCACCTCCTCCGCGACCGCCACCTGCAAGGCGAAGCCGTCCAAAAGACCGTAAGGAACGTTCAAATTTTAAACCATTTAAAGAATGGTCATGACCACGTGCACATTGTCTGTCGCGTTTCAACTTTTTACGCCCAAGGATCGCGCGCCTGAGAACAGGGAACGCGAAGAAGCGGAACTGTAAGCTGAGTTTAGGAGGCTCAGCGCAACCAAAGCGATCACCTAACGCGACATCGATAAATAATATCTGTAGGCTGGAAGCTGCTTCAGATTCTCCGGGTCAAATAGCGACCTTCTCGCTGGACTGCTCATCAGTATAGATTCTGAAGACATCCTGAACCGTGTCCAATAAAAATCAAGAGCCAACATGACCTGAGCAAGCGTGCCTCAACTTCCCCTAGGCCAAAAGTCTCGGTTGCGGCGTCACTGCTTACCGCCTCCACCATAGCCACCTCCTGATGCACCTGCGTGGGACCAAAGACGCCAACAACTAAGCCTGAGGTGGAATACGTAAGGATAGCAACAAGACAACGCAAGGCTGGCCGACCTCGTCCGCGCCCAGACATCTCGGGTAAGTGTGCTGTAGAAGATAACAAAGAAGTGCTCGCAAAAAGCCTGCAAAATAGCTTTGCACTTTCGGATGTGTCCTTTGTATAGACGGTCGGCTGCACGTCGTTCAACCCGTGAATACCCAGAGCCCGTGAGTGGATATCATAACTTCTTGTGTAACGTTTCTGAAAACAGATCTAGCCTACCAATGCCGCTTTATGCTGTCGCACGCGCTGTACTGAAAGATTACCCATGCACGGCACTCTGGCAAATCCAGAAATCCTACCCAACATCGCACTTCAGAAATTCCCTGGTGCATTGGTACACTTTCTTCTATCACGTTTTCCTTGAAGAATGCTTCGCTCCTGTATAACGATGTTCGTCGGGTGCACGAAATAATCCTTTCATGTTACGCCATATGCGGGGTCCCGACATAAACAGTTCCTATTCATAATGAATATTACAATACACCTCACATGAGATCGGGTCAGCAACCCCAGCAACAAGCCGACCGAAAGAAAACATAAACCCTGGGCCCAAAAGGCCCTAGGGCTTGTCAGTTGGCTTGTCAGGTGGCTCGCTACAACAGGATTGTCACAGCGAGCAAAAGCGCGGTGGTTTGACCCGAAATGCTCGGGATCCGTTCCTTTCGGTGAGCTTGCAAGTTGCCATTGCAGAAAGACATATCGCAGAACGCAGTAACCCAGATTGCAGCAAAGTCGCAACGTGTCCACACTCGGCCTCTCACGGTTGCACCTGAAGGCGGGCAACGGTTCCTTGGCCACAGCCTGCCCGCAGCAAATCATGCAGCCCGCAGCATCCGCATGCAACCGATCCTTTAGTTGCCCATGTAGAAAAGTTAACATGCCCGATCTCTTTAGAAGCTCCGGTTGACAGCTTGGCTGCAAATTGCAGGACGTTTGACTGTATGAGCTTTGGACACGCTTTAAAGGCCAGTCTGGCGGTTCGATCTTATTCACAGGATGTCAAAAGATAACAAACACATTGCATGACTTCAGTCATAATTCAGGTGATTTGAGTTCGGAATGTTGCATGTTGCCGTGCGCGCACAATTGGTCGACCAAAACCGCCGAAAATTACATCTGACACAACGGCAGGTTGTTGGCAGAGGTTAAGGCCTGACTTCTGCTCCCGAAGGTCCCAAGCTCAAATCCATCCGCAAATCCTAAGTTGTGGCGGCGTTGATCCTCTATTGTTTGGATGCTGATGGTGAGTTGCCGAACCCAAGGAATACATTCTGAAATCAGATGGGGTGAATGGATTAAGGTGCCCCTCTAGCAGGGGAGAACAGGGAACTGCCTCTGGAAGGAGGCCACTGGTGAAGCTATACCACCCTGTAACAACAACATCGGTCGCTTTTGCCTGCAGCGAAGACCAACGAAACACAGTGTGTTATTTTTAGCTTTCCCGCTAGTCTTGACACGAAGGAATTGGTGAGCCTGTTTTGCAGCGTGGCATGGGGTATCTAGCTCACTCTGGCGTAAGGCGGTGCAACTATCATCCAAGGCACGCCTGGGCGATGGACAGGTTCACCCGCATTTGCCAGCATACTGCCCAGCACTGCCGAAGACTCAGTAGCGAATATATGCATACATATTAACATATGTGAATATATATACATATGTATACATATACATATGTGTGGTTCATATACCCCCCCTGGCGGACGGTGGGGCCGTCCATGGCGGACGGTCTGCCGGACGGTCGACCGTCCGGCACAGCTTTCCGGGCACACATACCAACACATACCAACATATTTTTGCACGAAGCAAAAGACATTTTGTTGTAGTTTATCCTGGTGCTCGCGGCGCGCGCGGGCGTGGAGCGCGCGCAGAGATTCCTTGCGCAAGCCGGCAGCACGGCATGCAAACTGCGTCCAGATGAGCCCTTTACCCTTGCAATTTGCTGAGCTTATAGTGAATTAATGTAACAAAGCAAAGGCGTAACCCGGGATGCTCAGTTGGGCCTTGCGTCGTTACATTGCCCCCCCTTTAGCAATGGACGTCCGCGGCCATTATATCGAGCATTGGAGCCATCCCACCTCACGCATTGTGCGCTGGTTTATCCACTACCCATGATATCGCTTTCTGCGATACCTGCTTGTTGTCAGAATCGAACCACCGACCCGAAGATTTCATCGGAAGTCGTGCGGCCCCGTCTCGATACCATTGTAGCAAAGCAAAGGCGTAACCCGGGATGCTCAGTTGGGCCTTGCGTCGTTACAATTAAAGTTTTATAATCTTTTCATGGATAATGTAATGCAATGTGCTATACTGGGGGCTTCATCGATGCAAGCGCTAGGAGCCAGCAAATGCATGAAATGTAAACAAAGCTAAAACTAGCATTCGGCTAAGTCAATTAGATGTAGGAGCATATTTATCTGGCGGTTTGGGGCCAGGCTTGGACCGCCGCCATGGGCGACCTGTGTGCATGGGACCCTGTGTGTCTGAGAGCCTGTGTGCCTGGAAGCCTAGGATTCTAAAAGCCTGTGTGCCTGGGAACGTGGGAGCGTGGGCGCCTGGGATTCTGTAAGCATGGGTTTCTGATAGCATGTTTACTTGGGAGCCTGGGAACCTGGGAGCTTGGGGACCTGGCAGCCTGGGGACCTGGCAGCCTGGGAACCTGGCAGCCTGGGAACCTGGCAGCCTGGGGACCTGGCAGCCTGGGGACCTGGCAGCCTGGGGACCTGGCAGCCTGGAACCTGGCAGCCTGGGAACCTGGCAGCCTGGGGACCTGGCAGCCTGGGGACCTGGCAGCCTAGGATTCTGGCAGCCTGTGAGCTTGGCAGCCTGGGATTCTGGCAGCCTGGGGACCTGGCAGCCTGGGGACCTGGCAGCCTAGGATTCTGAGGGCATGTGTGCTTGGGAGTCTGGGATTCTGAGAGCCTGGGAACCTTTCAGCCTGGGGACCTGGCACCCTGGGGACCTGGCAGCCTGGGGACCTGGCAGCCTGTGTGCCTGGGAGCCTGGGAACCTTGCAGCCTGTGTGCCTGGCAGCCTGGGAACCTGGCAGCCTGGGGACCTGGCAGCCTGGGGACCTGGCAGCCTGGGGACCTGGCAGCCTGGGGGGCTGGCAGCCTGGGGGACTGGCAGCCTGGGGGGCTGGCAGCCTGGGGACCTGGCAGCCTGGGGACCTGGCAGCCTGGGAGCCTGGCAGCCTGGGATTCTAAGAGCCTTTGTGCCTGGGAGCCTGTGTGCCTGGCAGCCTGGGATTCTAAGAGCCTGTGTGCCCGGGAGCCTGTGTGCCTGGGAGCCTGTGTGCCTGGGAGCCTGGGAACCTGGGATTTTAAGAGACTTTGTGCCTGGCAGCCTATGTGCCTGGGAGCCTGGCAGCCTGGGATTCTGAGAGCTTGGGACCCCAGTCTTGAACGAAACTTTGGTATGGCTTCGTTGGCCTGCCCGCCATGCGCTGTGTTGCACAGACAGGCTGGCAGGTGGAATGCAGGACAAGGGCGTAACCGGGTGCGGGGCGTGGTGCCGTGTTGGGTCTTGGGGACATGCGCAAGCTGTGCGCCAGCTCGGATGCCATACAATGGCCTCTTTCCACCGCCAAATGATCATTTACCCAGTAGAGCATTCATTGTGCCATTCAGAGCCGACAAAGGGATGGAACGACGTGTTGGGCGTGACGGTCAGTCTTTGCTGAATCCCTTTCACTAATGCCCAGTGCTTGTGGCCATTGCAATGACCTTATTGCATGATTCAATTGTTCCAGTGCGTTGGTGTTATTTAAGCAGGTTACATAAACAGGTCATTAGAATGTCCGCCGCGCGCCTTGGGATGTTGTCTTTTTTCTTTCGATTGCTTTCTTCTTTTATGCTAGAAGCCTTTTGACTATGTGCGTCACAATTTTGGGGTTAGTTTCTCCTGGCGAGTGTTTTGCGCGTTAATTGCTTGCCAAGGAGTGCAAGCTGGAGCATTAATTATTAGCGTCTCATGAATCATCTACATACAGATGTTTTGGAGCTTTGGACCATCGTTTCCATGACCGTCCGCTAGGCGTCCGCTGGAACGGTCAGGATGTACGGCGTTGCGGACAGGGGACCGTCCGCTGGCGGGGTATATGTATATGTATACACATACAAGGGTTTGGCACTACTGGTAAGGCGCGACCATTGCCTCCGGGAGATCCCGGGATCCCATTAGGGTCAAAAGTCCTTCCGATGGTGGAAGGCATTGTGCCCCTAGTTGATGGACGGTGGTGACCTGGGATAAAGTTAACCTGCGAGCCGACCAGGAATGGAGTTGGGCCGCTGTCGACCCGGCGATTCCTGGTGGTGGGTGCTGAACCTGAGCGATCCACTGAGAAGTTGGCTAGGGTGACTGGATGAGAGTGCCCCGAAATACCGGGGAAGCCAGGGTTTCGCAGGGTAGCTGCCACGGGCGAAGATACACCCCCCTGTTTCACACATCATATGTACATATACGTACACACATATATGTACACACATGTACATATATGCATGTGTGTACGTACGCCTGCTCGCGTGTGAAAACGCAACTCTCTGCAACTCAGAAATCTAAGAAGATTCAATCCCGCATCCGTCCACCTTTAGCAGCAAAGCTACTCTGTTGGCGAAGTCCCGCCGAAAGGGAAATAGCAGAGGTTCAGCGCAGAAGGCAGCCACAACTGGAAGACGGCTGCCGACGGGATAGGCAGCAACTTCAGAGTATGACTTCCCAGAGGCCTGCTTTTTGCGCCAACAATAACCTAAGCACCAACGCACGTGAGGCCGGCCATTCTTTACCTAAAAACGTATGTGGATTTTCACACTAAACACGTGCATGCCGGGCGGTGGTTGCGGCTGAGATGCCGAATCGGCCCGGCCCAGCCTGCAGCTGCATCCAGAGCTAGCTGTGTACGGCGGGGACCAAGTGGTCAAGGAAGCCCCCCTGCCGCTGGGGTTCGCAACTAGGGGAGAGAGAGAGCTGACGCTGCAGGACCCCGGGGCAGCTCCTCCCCGAGTCCCTGAGCAACTACCCAGAGAGAGTGCAGTACATTGCAGTACAGTAATCAACAGACACATACACTGCATACAATGACCGACTTGAGCCGATATGGACCAACACACATTATCCCTAGCTATAGCTTTGACAGCGGGGCCTTCCTGCGGAGGACCTACGGCTGCTGGTTTATCGGAACAGTCACCCTTCAAATCAATCACCGCAACAGGTGCTTGTCAACACCACTTTCCGTCAGCTGGCGCCCTAGGGAGCCGTGCGATGCCTGCCTTGTCACCTGATGCCTGCCTTGTCACCTGATGCAACTTGGATTAACCGTCTTACTTCGCCACGGAATGTTCGTTTAAGGAGCTGTTGCAGACATGACGCCGGTCGCGGGAGGGGCCCTAGGCGTGGGGATCGGAGCTACACTGCATTGGCTGCGGCGGCCGTCATGGAAATGGATGTGGTGCTGTGTAGAGAATACGTGAAGAGAGAGTATGCATGTATGTACGTGTGTCGGAACGTAACGCCGGCCGTTGGCTGCCGTTTCAAAACCATGTATACACCTCTACTTACTTACCCTATTCGTTTCTCTTAGCTACTTCCGGAGTCCTTAAAACTGGTGGCAAAACCCAAATGGCAAAACTTCAGCCTCAGCTCGCAGAGTCCAAAACCATGAAAAGTGAACCGGTATGCCCGGCCACCATTACGCAAGGCGAGTTGATGCGAGATGAGACAAGATAAGAAAGTCGGAGACGTCGCTAGCGTAGAGATATGTGATATATGACTGGCCCCTGTCCGAATTTTGACGCGCTTGGTGGCTTTGTAATGCAATCGCCTTCGCGGCTCGGAAGAGGTATTCTCCGACTAAGCGTGAGGTGATGATCCCGGACCTTACTTGCCATGCGTCCGGGCTCGTGATTCAGGCAGCCAGTCTGGCGAGCAAGAAAAAAGAAGGAAAGAAAGGCAGCCAGTCTGGCGAGCGAGCGACTGGCCTTGCCTCCTTCATAAATCACCACATGCGTGTTGTAGGTCGTCGTCGAGGTTTTGAAAATGTAATTGCCAAGCATGTACCCCTCAGTCTGTACTCCATTCACCTGCACACTTTGGCGAGTGTCATGGCGTAGACACAGCGGGACGGGTAGAGGTTACGCATGGACTCGAAGGTAGGAGAGGGTTGCGCTGTACCCCTGGCATTTCTTTTTATTTAGTTTCGGGGCTGCAAGAATGGAGGAAGAGGATTTTTAACCGCTGGTATACGTGTCAATACTGATGTGCTTGTGAACGGTCGACATCAGGGGCTGAAGCTAAGGTGGACTTCTTGTACGGCTGCTGTTGGGATGGTCCATTCGTACATTCCACATCTCATGTGTGTGGAACATTTCCCGGTCCTTCGGTTTGTGCCCATGCTATCACTTCCAATGTTCGAGGTGTTCAACGAAAGAGTTATATCAGGAAAGCCGCAAAGCGAGACCGTGTAGCAGGGATTTCGGCAGGCAGCAAGCTCCCCCCGGCTGTATACTTTAGCAAGTTTTCTCGGGCTGAAGTTTTGTTGGTTTTGTTGAGGAAAATATTGTCCGGTTGTATTGTTCCGGCTCGGAACAGTTGCTCTTGCCAAGGACGATGACCATGTCACTCGCTTGACTCTTTCCAGGCTTTCCCGAGGGCGCTTGCTATCGCATTTCCGTTTAGTTTTTGGTTCTTATGGCTAGCGCACTACATGTATATGCAAACCTGCTATGGCGGGATAGCAAGGTGGAGGCCCGGGTGAAAAAGTTGGCCGCCCTACGGCTATTGCAGGAGCCGCATTATCGACTACCCCTGGATGAGTTGTCCAGAGCATTGGTGTCGAGCCATGATTCAACGATTTCTGGCGACCTACTCGCTCCAGCACGACTCGCAGACATCATCTTTGCAGAGTTGTGCTTTGTGCACAGCGATGGCACCGGCAACGTACTTCTTGATGCAGCATCCCTTATGACAGCTGGAAAGGATTGCTTGAAGGTGTATATTGACAGGGTCTGGGACACATCCTCGCCTCGTTCATGGGCGCACAACCAGCTGGTAAGCCCCAAAACGGCTGTTCGTCGCGGCAAGGTCTGCGTTGACTCAATCAGCTCAGGAAGCAACTTTGATGCAGCCAACTTTTCGCTAGGAACATGTGCCGGCCGTCGCCCGTTGGCAACGGTTCGAACCTGTTGACCCTCCTCTAGCGCGCTACGTAAATCGCCCGGGCGGGTCCTTCCGGCCATCCCGACAGGCCTGGTACATCGTCTCCCGGCAGCACATCGACATGCGGCCACACGACCTCTTCCTGGCACCAGTGGACGACGCAGGTGGGGGAATTTGGTGTAGGTGTAAGTCCTCTGCGGAGCGATGCTTTGGCTCCATCATCGCTCGCGCGCTCGGCTTGAAATGCACTGATATGGGCTGCTGTGGTGTCAGGAAAGAATAACTGCGATGGCCAGATGGGGCCGATGGCACTACTTCACTCCCAACGTTTGTTTTTTTCCTACCGGTACTGCTCATCTCGCACCCACGGTTGCGACTACGATCTCTTCTGCCGCTCCCAACCACCTCAGCCACTACTCATCCACCATCCACCAACCCTGCAAACACAAACGCACACACATACACGCACACCTCGCGTAGAGAGCTTCCTGGCGGCTGCGTGGACATCCCGCATGGACCTCCGCGACCACCCTGACCACCCCTACACCTCCCTACGGCAACTGCTGAGAGGAGAAACACGACTGGAGCTGACACCCGACCTGAGCGCCATTCGCCTAAACTTCAGTAAGCTGCTGCAGCAGGATCAACAGCAGTATCACCAGCAAACGCCGCCGCAACAGCAGCAGCAGCTGCAGGCCGGAGGGCCGTCTGCGAGTGGACGGGAGCATCATGGAAACGGACACGACACGGCGACCGCTGCTGCTGCTGCTGCTGCTGCTGGCCGCGGCGGCGATGACGACGGCGGCGCCATGGAGTGGGGCGAGTACGGCGGCGAGGATGGCGCCTACGGCAACAGTGAAGCGGCGATTGACATCGCAGCCGACGTCGCAGCCGCGATGGCGGCGATGCAACGGGCGTCGTTTGCAAACGGGCTGGGGGGCAGCGGCCGCCACGGGGATGCAGGCAACGGCGTTGGCAACCGCGACGCCGAGGAATATTATGAAGAGGCGGAGGAGTGCGGCGACGGCGGTGAAGGGTACGGCGAAGATGATGACAGGGAGACGACCCGCGGTCGTGGATTCCGTGGGGGTGGAGGTGGAGCCGCTGCTGCCGGCGGCTCCCGCTACGCCAATGGCGGCGGCGGCGGCGCCGCCGCCGCCGCTGCCTCCAATAACCAACCTGTATTGCCGTTGCGACCCGACCTGCTACAGATATACATCCGGGCTGTCTTCGCCGCGTCCGGCTCTCCTCATGACCATCTGATGGCGGTGGTGGCGCTGGCGCTGGCCGACGCTGGTCGCGGGGGCAGTGCGGGACACGGCGGCAATCGCGGCCTGCCATTTCCTGGCGCCATCGCGCCCGACACCCACCGCTTCCGTCTGCCACTGCATCGTTTAGTCACGCATGTACGGGAGACGGCGCCGCACTTGCTGCCGCCGCCGCCGCCGCCACATCATAGCGGCGGCAACGGTGGAGGCGGATGGCTCGCGGGGGCGCTGTCACAGCGGCTGCAGGAGCGGTCCAGTCGGGGGTGTTTCAAGGTGCTGCTACCGGGCGGAGGCGCCGGCACGGGTACGACGGGTACGACAGCGACTTGGGGCGGCGAGGGAGGCCATGGGTACGGCGGCGGAGGCGATGACGTCGAGGCGGCGGTGGTCTCACTGGATTTGGACGTCCTGCGGGAGCGAGTGGTGGAGGCGTTGGCGGTGAGTGCATGACGCAACACACGTTCTGTCTGTCTGTCTGTCTGTCTGGCAGCATGGAGGAGGTTGGGAGGATGGGGGATGACGCTGACTCCTGTTTTGAGTATGAAATTTGCTGCTGACCCCCGACCAACACATATTCACGTATATATATACACATATGTACATATATACATATGTATACACCTACAGAGACCCCCTGGCAGCAGCTTCACTCGTTCGTGGTTCCTCTTTCCCCCCTCAGCACATCATCCCCATTGTCATGTCCTATCGACATCGAGACGACGACGACGATGCCCCGTGTCCCCATCCCGGCCGTACACCATCAGGCAGCAGCAGCGGTGGTCTTCTCAGGTAGCCGCCCCGTAGATGAGATCCGTCGTACGGCTGCCGTACACCTCGCCTCACGCACCCGGCCCTTTGCGGGACGCGCGCACTGCGTGCGGCTCATTACGTTGGCGCGCACTCTGGGGGGCGAGCTGCCGCCGGAGGTGTTTGACCCGAACCGGCTTGGCGGTTTTGAGCGGTTGGTGGGCTCGGAGAGCTCGAATAACGTCATGCACGTGTTCCGGAAGGCCATGCCCGGCCTGTCCCCGGGGCACGGGGAGGAGGTGGGTCCCTTTATAACCCTCAATTTGGGGAAGCTGCTGGCGGGTGCGGGTGTTCGAGATTTGGATAGCATCATGACGGGCGGGCGTAGCGGCCGCGGCGAAGGGGGTGGCAGCGGGGCGTCATGGGCAGGGCGCGGCGGCGGCGGCGGCGGCGTGCCGGAGGCGGCTCCGCCATCGCCTGCAACCGCGGCGTCGTCATCGCGGACGGCGGCCTTTGCCGCGGCTTCTTCTGCCGCCTCACATAGCGGCGGAAGTCGCGATCCAGCCCAGCCAGCGCCGCAGGCACAGACCCAGGGGTCGGGTCATGCAGGTATCGGTGGCAGTAGCAGCAGCCACAACAGTTTACCGCCACCGCCGTCAGACGCAGCGCTGCGGCAGGCTGTGGAATCCCTGTTTTCACTTTCAGAAAGCGGGCGCGCCGCGGGTGCCGGTGCAGGCAGCACCGAGTACGCGTTGGCGGCGGCGGCGGCGAAGCGCACGGCGGCGTTGAGCCTAGTGAAGGCATTACACAGCCAGCAAGGAGGTTTCCTTCCGCTCACTCGCCTCAGCGATATCGTGATCAATGCAGTGCCGGGCTCACCCGATTTGGAGCGCTTGCTGGCGGCGGATCCAGATCTCTTTGAAATTCAGGTACTTACAGTGCACAGGCACATGCGGTGCCGTACATTGTCGTGCCTGCGCGGCTGGCGGATGACGCGAGGTGTCGCGAAGGGAAGAAATGTGTGAGGGGGCGAAGGGAAGAAACCCAGCACTAGTGGATTCCAAATGCGATGTAACGATGAACTGCGATGTTTTGCTGCAGGAGGCCTGGTATGGGGGTCCACGCAGCGTACGACTTCGCGCCTCAGGAGTCATGGCCAGGGTGAGTGCCGGACAGGGCAGCGCTCGTGATCCATGAAGATGGGTGGGGGGAATATACCGACCCGTGGGTCGGTGGGCCGGGGTAACATAATGGCTTGGCTGGCCATATAGAGGTTGTGGAGGAGCTGGGGGTCGAAAGGCTGACTTCCTCTCCTCTCCTCTCTGTCCCTCGGGTATCACTCGAGATTGATCTCCTCTACATCGAGATATCGGCATGTGGGTGGGTGTATGTGTCCGCCGTACTGCCGTACGCAAGTTTATCAGTCTTTCTTTTGCACTGGCAATGCGATTCAATTACCATCCATTAGTCACTTTTTGCTTTCCGGCGGTCTGGGGGCGGATCTGCCGGGCCCATCGCTTCTCCTCCCCTTCTCGCTCTCTAGCTCTCTCTGCCCATCTCTACCACTGTCGGACGACATCGTCACACAGCGCGTGTGCACCGTGAGGTTCGCATTCGTCGTAAGGGAGATGACGAGAATGCGGGTGGTGCTTTCCGACCACCCAACAGCTCCCCTCAGCCCCTAGGGAACTCCTTTCACCTCGGGGCTCTGCTCCTGCCTGTCGAGAAGACATACATACATACATACATACATACATACATACATACATACAATACACAAGTTCATGCACTGCTGATAAGGCACACACTGATGCCCCCGGTGGTTCCGGGATCGAGACATGTAAAGGTCGAAACTCCTTCCGATGGTGGAAGGTAAAAAGTGCCCCTATTCGATGGACGGTAGTGACCTGGGATAAAGGCGACTTGCGAGCTGACCAGGAATGGAGTTGCGCCGCTGTCGACCCGGCAGAATCCGTTAGATGCCGGTGGTGGGTGCTGAACCTGAGCGATCCACTGAGAAGTTGGCTAGGGTGACTGGATGAGGGTGCCCCGAAACACCGGGGAAGGCAGGGTCTGCCGGGTATCGGCCTCAGGGTGAAGATATGACCCCCCTGTCCCACACATCATTCATACATACACACATACATATATACACAAATATAGAAAGGTACTCCCCTATGATATCCCCAGCCTAGTTCCCGGTCGCGGCGCTTCACTTCAATATAAAACGCCCTCCTTGGGTCGACCGATGTCCCACATGCAACATGCATCCCGCGCATCACTGCTGTTTCTCCCCCGAATACCTCACGTCCTGCGGCCCGATGTATGTTCGCCGCTCCTGGTCCGCCACAGGCTGCCGCAGCTGCCACCACAGCGTCAGGCGCCGGTGACGCCACCGCCGCCACGGCCGTGGCCAACGGTGGCAGCAGTCACAGCAGCCACACCGCTGGCACATCCACAGCCGCTGCTGGCACTTCCGACGCCCTGCCCCGCCGGCCAAACACCATGAACTGCCCCTACTACATGCGCTACGGAACGTGTGGGTATGGCGGGTCTTGCAAGTACAACCACCCGCCGCTGACTCCGGGGCAGCCTCCGGAACAACAACCAGCTCCTGCGGCGGCAGCGGCAGCAGCGGCGGCGGCGGCGGCGGCGGCAGCAGCGGTGCACGGCGCCGGGGTTCAGCGGACCCCGTCTACAGCAGCGGCGGCGTCCTATCGTCACCCGCAGCGGCAAGAGCAGGCGCAGGCGCAGAACCAACACCACCAAGCGGCGGTTCCGACGGCGGTTGCCGGTCAAGAGGCCGGCAGCGGCGGCGGCGGCGGCGGCGGAGCCGCCGCCGCTCCGCGGCTGTCTCTCTCCACCCCTGAGGTCAAGGTTGTTACCACCGCCTGCACCCCCGACCACCTGGACATGCTGCAGCATTGCTACGCAGCGCCGCAGGTGGCAGTGGCCTGTAAGGTCCATCGCGCCGCCTACAATCACCACCATCACCACCAGCCCCATCACAACCACCACCACCACCCTATGAGTGCGAGCTCCTCGGCTGTGGAAGTGGGCCAGGTGTGTCTGGTGCAGCTGTACGCGCCCGCCGTGGCGGCGGCGACGGGAGCCGTCGCTGCCGGCTCTGGCGGAGCCGCTGGTGCGACCCGTGGGTCGCCCGGATCTGTGGGCGCGGCCGTGGGTGGTAGCGCTGGGGCTGGCGGCGGCGGTGGCTCTTCTATGTCTCCGGCTCCACGATGGCCCGCCACTGTGTACCTGGTGGATCCGGCGGCGGGCGAGGATAAGAAGGGGTTGCTGCTGCCCAGTCTAAGTCCGTTACTGGAGGTGAGGTGAGGGGAGTTGGATGCGAAGGAAAGTCAAGGAGGGACAACAACTGCCGGCGTCCAGTGAGGAGGGAGAGGAGGGGGAGGAGGAGCAGCAAAGGGGGTGGAAGCGGCGGCCCTTTAAGAGAGCACTGGCTCGTTTTGTCTTGAGGCAAGAAGCATGACCTGGGGGGCAGCCTCGGAAAGAGGCGAGTAGAGGCGAAAACGTGTTCCTAGGGCAAAACCCGTCCCTTGTGCTGTTTGGCTTTGAGGCCTAGGCATCGTTCCAAGCTTAGCTTTGCCTGAATGTGGGAATGAGCTTGGCATTCATTAGTTTCCCTTCCGTTCCCTCTCCAGAACGGCCAACCCCGCCGCTGCCGTCGCCGCCGCCGCTGCTGCTGCTGCTGCTGCTGCTGCCGCATGCACCGCCTTCACGAACTCTATCGCTGCTGAGCCGCCCTGCCCCTTGATGCCCCACTTTGCGGCGCTGCAGGACCGGGCGATTCCCAAGATCATCTACTGCAGCAGCGAGGTGCGTGTGCATGTATGTATGTATATGTGTTCATGTGTATGTGGCTGGGTGTCCATGTCTTTGGGGCTTGGGAGGAGAGAGGGAGGGAGGGGACGCTGGTGGTGGAGGGACTACTGTAACAGCAACACCAGCGTGAGGTAGAGAGAGGGACAGTAGTAACACAGACTGCCGAACCATAAAGGCGGCAACCGGCCGCCGCCGGCGTCGCAGTGCTGGTGGTAATGGTCCCGTACACCTCCCGCGCAGGTTGTGCCGTACATGCCTCGCATCGCACCGCTGTACGACATTAGTGTATTGCACGCGCTGATCGCTCGGGCGCCGCATGCGATGTTGGGGGCCCCGGCTGCGGCGGCGGCGGCGGGTGGGGGAGGTCCTGGGGAGGCGGCGGCGGTGGCGGTGCCGCCCCTGGCGAGCTTGCTGCAGCAGCATGGCGTCGTGACTGCGGCCGGCGCCGCGGCGGCGACGGTGGCACCGGCCCACTCCCCGTGAGTTCTCGCAACAGGAGTATATGGCCCATGGGCCCCCCGGGGCTTTAACGAACTACCCCCACATTCGTGCGGAAGTTGTAACCTTCAATTTGCATATGGGGTTTTTTTGTGGTTTGGGGCGGAAAGATGGTGAGTAATTTTGCGCACTACGGGAAAGGGAGGTTAAGGGTTTGTGGCCGGGCACGGGGGGCCCGTGTGTGTGTGTGTGTGTGTGTCTCCTCGGTGTGGATTGCTGGAGGGGTATGCGCTTTGTTTTGCAGGCTGAGGAGAGGCTTCAAAGGCATTTCGGAAGGGGGGTTTGGGCACCGGCTGCTGCTGCGGCTGCGGCGTTGTGCGGCTCTGCTGCTGTGGACATCAGCCATTGGCCGCATTTCTTCTTCTTGCACGTCGTATCATGATTTCTTTCCGTCTCTCTCTTCGCTGCCATGCTCTTTCTTCCCCCCCTCTGCCATGCCCCTTCTCCCCCACTCTTTCCTTGGCAGCAGCTTCACTCGTTCGGGGTTCGTCTTTCAACCCCCCTCCCTCCTCAACCAGCAACAGCTTTAAACCTACAACCTGAAACAACCTGACGTAGGCACTTGACCTAACGTTGCTGACTGTAGGCCTGTGCCTCCTCGGTTGCGTCACAGTCGCCCTCTGCTCCCCAGTCCCCTCTCCATCCAATCGGCCTTCTTGTTTTATGCATATGAGATTTCCCTCCCCACCCCCCTCCCCCACGCCTCTCCCCCTCCCTTCCCACCCACCTTTGTGGGGTTTCGTGGCCACCAGTCTATGGGCCACCCGCCCTCTGGGTGCCGAGTTACGGCAGCAGGCCGTACTGGAGGTGGTGCACCTGGCTACACTGTGGACGGGCCTGATCGCCCGACTGCTGGCGCTACCGCAGGAGCTCAGCCAGACGAGAGGTGCGCTGTTGCTGTGCTGTTGCTGGTGTTGGTGTTGCTGTTGATGAGGAGAGCACACACCCGTACTTACCAGTGCACCGCCAGTTCGACAGCATCCGTATCTCTGTATGTATTATGTTGAGTGTTTGCGTTGGCTTGAATCAAAGTATCGAAACGCCCCACGCTTGACATACATCATCATTCGTTTACCATTCCCCTTGCGTATTTATTACCCGTGCACGTGATCGTCTCTCCAATGCCAGCTTATCCCGTACTGACCAGCCGCCGTCTTCCAGACCTTACTGACGGTCCTGACGGCCCTGAACTTGTCTGTCCTTACTCCAGCGCACACATATCGCACCGAGGGGTTTGAGCAAGGTAACCACCCTCACAAATGTGATCACACCTGTTAACTGCCATGCCAACTGTTAACGAACCCAACATTCCTCTCCGCTGCAGCGGACCGCCTGCTCTCGGAGCACTCGGTGGCGGCGGGGGCTGCTGCCGCACCTACCGCTGGTGCCGCTGCTGCTGCTGCTGCCAGTACCGCTGGGCGGATGCGCTCAGGCACCGCTCCTGTGGGTGTGGCTGCGGCGGTGCCGGCGGGCCCTGTCGTCCCCGCACCCGCCACGGCCGCAGGAGCGGCGGCTGCAGCACAGCATCGGAGCACTGCGGGCATGCACCGCGGCGGCGGTTGGTGATGCCGTGATGTTAGTTAGAGGTGTCCGTTGATACTGTGCCCGTCAGTGATGTTGTTGTTGTGAGGGGCCAAGACGATGCGTTTGCTTGCCGCCTGCTGTGTCGCAGTGACTTCAACGAGCTGATGGGATTTTTGTGTGTGTGTGTGTGTGTGGGGGGGGAAAGATGCTTAAGTAGAGGGGTGGTGTGTGTGTGCATGATAGGATGGGGTTCTAGGAGTGCGCACCATGCAGGAAGAATGCATGGGAGCGTACGCGTGTGTCTGTAAACGTTGTGGGGAGGAAGCGCTTTGTGAACGGGGTTGGTCCTGCTTGTGGTGGTTGTGGTGATGGTGGTGGTGGTGTATACGAGCTGTTTGTTTGGGAGTTCTTGGGGGGTCTTCGGGGTGGTGCTGTAAGGGGCTCTTGACTTTGTCCCGTAGTTCCGGGTTCGCAGCGATGTGGTGACGACGGTGACCATGGTTAATGATCGTGTCTGGGCCGGTGATGATAGCGTTGGCGAAAATGATGGTGATGGTCGGTGGTTATTAAATGGATCGCACTGCTCTGCCATGTCATGTGTGAAACGCGACTGCTGTACGGGGCCAGCGTCGTCTAGTCGTATTTGTGGTCTTTGCATTCGCCATTGTGGTCGCCATTTTTTGCCGTAAAGCGACTTCGGGTATTCTCTCTTTTCCTCCGTGCGTCTGTCTGTCCATCTGTTTGTCAGTCTGCTTGCTTCTCCGATCTGTCCGTCCGTCAGCCTATCTGTCAAATGAATCTTCGAAGGATATCGGAAATTAGCATAATTATGAGGGTTAAGGACTTCAACAAGAAGATATGTGTGCTTCCAGTGTTTGTGTGTGGTGCGGGGAGTTTGCCACCTTCAGGGGAAGAATGGAGAGCCGTGCAGAGGCAGGGCAAGGGGAGTAGTTCACGTTAGGTAGCGGCGACATGTGCCGGTAGGTGGGTGAGTACATGGATGAATAATTTGCATATGTGTGCTTGTGTCTTCAGGAACGCTGAACTTGGCAACCTGGCGTCTGCGTGTGTCGATTAATGTCGAAGGGAAGACTGCTCCGCCATGCGCCATGCGTTCAATGTACGACAGATGTTCAGTGTTCTACAACATCTGAAGGAGGAGCCCCAAGGGGCCAAGATAACTTCTGAGGCGCGGTACGTGGCACGTGCCAGGGGTTGCCGCGTGTCCGCGTCGACTCCTGTTAATGGTATGAGAGCTGTCCTCCAAACCCTAGCAACCATTACACCCTCGCAAGAGGAAATGGCTTCCAGGAATTAGCCAGCGCCTGACATTGCGGCGCGGCACGGCATGGCATTGGCTATTTATTGTGTTTCTGCCGGGGCTAGAGGCGCAATAGAGATAAAGCGCCATCGTGTTAGATCGTAAGCAGTGAGGGTGTATGCTCATGTGCGCTGCAGTTTTAGAGTCAGAGGGACGCGTGGAGGCTGCGTCCCTTTTTAATGTGTGTGTGAATGTGGGGGGTTTGCACGGCGTGAGCCTGAACCGGGGATACGCGATTCATACCGCCACCCCCTTGAGTGCCCCTCCTTGAAGGGAATTTTTTGAGTCCTGTGTAGGCTGTGCAGTGTTGATCGTTGATCCTGGCGAGGCTGGGGATGTGATTTGCTTAGAGGAGATGTTGGTCTGGGCGGTTATACAGTTGATGTTGATGTTATTACAGGATGATTAAGCTTCACCAGTGGCCTCCTTCCCGAGGCAATTCCCTGCTCTCCCCTGCTAGAGGGGCACCCTAATCCATTCACCCCATTCGACTTCAGAGTGTACTCTTTTAGTTTGGCAACTCCACCGGCATCCAACCAAATCTAGCGGATCAACGGCGCATCAACTTAGTTCCTGGTCAGCTCGCAAGTTGATTTTATCACGTCCTACACCGTGCACAAGATGGGGGGCCACCTCCCATTTCACCACCTCTCAAACACCCGAGAGGTCGGCAGGCGGAGTCAGTTATAACTTGCCCGGCAAGCAGTCGCGTTCGATCTCCCTATCCTTGGTACCGCAGCATCGAGTCAGGTTGCTTATGCCATATATGTTTATGATAACGGACTAGGACTGGTCTTATCGCATTAGTTGGTGAAGGACCACTACTTTAGCTATGATTCATTTTCCCACATGATCGCACTGTAAATCGCGAAGGTAGTTCGCGCGATGGACGTCGCAATCTAGCAATAGAACACCGTTACTCCAATCCCTATTTGTCTAGCCATTTTCGTATTGCGTTATGAACGATGAGCTGGCATTCATCCATCGTCTGTTTGAACAAACTTGTTCAGCCGAATTCACTACTTGCAGGCATAAAACCTAGGCAGGAGTAAACTAAGGCATAAACTGCGATTCCCTTACAATGAATTCGAAGTCAAACTACTCTAACACGAATGACACCGTCAAAAGCGAAAGTGTAAGTTGACATATAAACTTGCCTGGCCCTTCAAGGCAAACATACCCGAAGATGACCGTCAATTCACTCGTGATCGGTGCTAGTAGAGAAGACAGCCTCACGTCGACCTCCGACCCGCCATGATTGAGACGCAAGCGAAATTATAACTTGGCTAGAAACAATTGCTGAACAAGCCCTGCCTAGTCATACTGACCACGGCCCTAACCGGCAGGCGATGTGAACACCCTGCACACCTCAAATATATACTGCAGCGATTGCAAAATGCAAGACCTGCGCATTAATCCCTCCCTTCAAATAGAAGCCACGAACTGTGTTCGTGCTACATCCCGCAATCCGGTTTGCCCCGGGCAGAAGCCTCATGCAGACCCGGACGAATCAAAGATGCAATGACATTGCTGTTCCCACTGCCCCCATGGCTACTTCTTGGCGACCCTCCTTAGATGGCCTTCTTTTTGCGCGGGGTGGGCGTCAAGTCGTACTTCGACATAGCGTTAGCTGCCGCACTGGTCACCGGCGTAAACACCGTCTTCTTGATAGTCTTGCCAACGGGCTCGATGCGCTTCTGGAAGGTGGCGAACTGCATCGTAGAAATAAACCCAGACGAACGTGAAGTCAAAGGATGTTATGTCAAGGCAAGGCACAAGCGGAGATGCACTCTGAGGCAGCACGCGCCCTGCGATCCAAACCCTAGGTCCTGTAAGCCAAACCACTTCACGAGCATAAAGCATCTGGGAGCATCAGAGCACAGGTTACCTTTCCAACCTAAGTCCTACCTCGTCGGGCTTCGCCAGGACACGCCCGTATGCGAGGCAAATAAAGATCGCCACGAAACGATCAACGTTGGGCAGGAGGATGAACATGGTCGCCATAGGAACCAAAACCATCGCCGCCCTAACACGACGATCGAACTTCTCGTACTGGGCCTGCAGGAACACATATCCAGATTCATATTCAAGAAATCGCTGAGCATAAAAAACCTGGCGGAAAACATCGACTGAAACTCAGCAGGTGGTCATCCAAGACGCCATGAACACGTCCGGAATGTGACTGCCAGTCGCACACTTGAGCGAGGCAGACTTACGTGAACCTTGCCGTACACGTCGGCCACAATGGTGTCGATGCGCTTCTTGTACACCTTGTAACCCAGCGGCAGGGTGAAGGCCCCGAGATGCAGCAGCAACAAGAGCGTCACAGCATCCAAAGCGCGGCCCAGCACCGACAATATCCAGAGTGCCATGCCGACCTGCAAACATATAGTAGTGGCCCAATGGAGGAGTTGAACCCTAATGAAGCCAAGGATCGCTTAAGCATTCCATAAAACTAGGAACAGCTGAGTAAGCCGTGGCATACCCACACATCCCATGTCTTTGTACCGCTGCTGCGGAGGCCACAACGCACGAGGATGTGGCTGGCGCAAAACCAATTTGTGACATCAATGAAATGAGATTCATGCTCTTGAATCTACCCACACAGCGTGGAGTTCAGCACACGCACCTCCAGAGTGCGCAGCGGGTCCAAGCCATGAAGATGGCGATCATGCAGCGACGCCGCCACGCGAATTGCCCCAGTCACCACTGAGATGAGCAACTGCGTCAGGGACGAGTTGGCCCAAGTGCAACGCTCCTGGTAGCGAGGCGCAAATGCGCCGCGGAGAAAGTTGAAGCCGAGGCTAAACAGGAGTGTATAGCATAGGCCTGCAGCACGTGCGTGGGGTAAACGTGCGTACAATTCGGATACGATGACTTGATTACAGCTTAACCGATGTTCAGAATCCCCCGACATGCATGTTAGTTAATGTGAAGGCGTAAGTCCTCCTACAAATTGTGGGCCATTACTGGGGAGGTTCCCGTAGCTGCAAGCGCACCTGTGAATAGGGTGATTGGACTCGTGAAAACCGCCCGCACGACCAGCCACGCGAGCAGGCCGCAGATGAAGTAGAATGACGAGCGGACCTGTGTTGCCCGGGAGAAGGTTGTCGTTATTGAGTTTACTCCGCAGGCCTTACCCCTCCAGCAACCCACACGCATGTAGCACTCCACAAAGTCCGCACCTTGTTCGTCCATAGAAGGGTTTCGGTGATGAAGGCGTTGTAGTCCAACTACGCAAGGAAAACCATCATGTCTCCATGTGGGTGAGCAGCAGCGTGCAGTATGGCCAAAAGGCCGCGGATCACAAGCATCTTGATGACACACCATACACAAGTCGATACGCACCTCGTCGCCAGCCGTGGAAGCCATCATCACAGGTGTCGCTGGTGTAGGTGGGTTCACGTTAAAGTCCAGCTGCGACGGGGAAAAGAATGCGCATTTATAAAGCCCTGCTTGAGGGCAGGCTCTCAGCACTGAAGGTGCAGAGGATAACCCCACGCTCGAGAAAGTCTCCTAAACTCCCATCTTTCCTAACACCCACCTGCTTGGCTGGATTAACGACTGGTGAGGCCGCAGGCGCCTCCGGTACATCAGGCACCGGGTCAGGGTGTGGAGAGCCAAAAGCTGTCTGCGAAGACATGTAGAAACATCTAAGCAAAAAATGTTTCTTATGGCTCCTATGCGATAGAGTTAGGGACCCAAAGGATGCCTGTCAGGTAACCGAGCAAAAAACGCGCGCTATGGCATAGCGCTCTGATCTTGAATAGACACACCTAAAAACGTACCTTCATCTCAGAAGCTTCTTGTTTAAGTGTATCAGGGAGCGGGCTGTCTGAGGAAACAAGTTTGGATGGGTTGTCGAGCACTTTCTCGGTTGCATCTTTAGCAGGCAAATCGTAGTCGGCCATATTCATCTTTTTTCTTCCCTGCAAATAAGCAACAAACCACGCGGCACAGACCAAAACTGAAGGCGCAAACCAAAGGCAGCATCCCTCCACGACAGGCGCGCATCCTGTCGCGATGTAATAGCTCCAGCCTATGACTCTCAAGATTATGTGCTCCGACCTTCACGGCAGAGCAATCGCTTAATATGTCCCCGGACATCAGGCGTCTCGCAAGTTGTCGGAAGTCCGAGTTTCTAACGAGCAACGCCCGTCAATGTTCAACGTCACAGGTTTAATTTCCGCATGCTCAGAGCTCATATGTGATGATAGTATCGGCTTAAGACACACCTTTCAGATGAAGTTCCCAGGACACCGATCTTGTGGGTGTTGCGGTTTCCTGCTCCGATGGCAAGCCTTTCAAACTTAATGGACAACTTTCAATCCAGTGAAGACTGATGACAATACTGTTACAGTGGACGCCCATGTAAAGGGTTTTGGTCCCATTACGGATCCACGGCGTACGGCGTGAAGAGAGGACAACTTCAAAAACAAGTCAAATGCCTGCGCTATTATGCACGATAAAAGTATCACGTTCCTTCCAAATAATTGTTACCTATTATTACCTTCTCAGCTGCGGCGACCGCAACACAAGCCTGCGATGCTACACATGCACCTGCATGAAAACCTACAGCATCTAACACAGAAATAACAACATGCCGTATACGAGCTCTGTCACATCATCGCGCGATCATGGCACAAAAAGTTCCCGCTTTCGGAATGTGGCTATCAGGGCGCGTCGCCGAGACTATGCCTGACTACAAGATTCGCAAATAAAGAGATGGCTACAAGTCAACTCCACTCTGCTCGACCATAGTGAATGCTAGCTTCAAAGGACCGCCGACCTGGTGGTCTGGACGTCGTGCACAAGGATGTGCACGACCGTGGAGGAGCGATTTGGAGAGCCGAATGACAGCACCTGTGAGGTGACAGGCAGCAAGCATTGACTTCACAATGCGTGGCTTGCAGACAATGCATGGCTTGCGCATAGTTTTTAAATAGTAGCTTGCACCGCGTGCAAACCCGAAACTAAGACGGGTATGTCCTGACCCTGCCTCCGGCACGTCCTGACCGTGTCGGTGGCACCTGAGCATCGCACGTAAGCTGTCCCTTTAAAACCAGCTAGCCGAATAGAAAGTCACGCATCTCAAAATGCGCCTTCGCTTCACAAAACCGTTCACACGTGGTGTCTCGGCGCTCCTGTGTCGCGCAATCTTCCTTCCGTGCCACACAAGGTGTAACAGTTACACCTGGTCGTTTAAAACCACCACACCTTAGCTGTACTGGACGACTGCCTGGCGCTCAAGAAGCCGCGGCCAATGTCGTCACGCTGGGTGTCGTCTCCGTCCTGTGTGTCCCGGGAAGGTGTTGCCAGGCGTGGCATGTGTGTCAGCTGAGTCAGCACATCGCTGAACGGCGACTGCCGCACGCTCATGTCACCCGGCTTCTCAACGGGACTCGCCTCCGCCGTGGCGCAGTACATGCCTTCAGCTTCTGACACCAAATGCCGGGTGGTGTCCAATGCTTGAAAGACCTCGGCAGTGATATTGTGGACATCATCATCCTGGGTTCGTGACGGGAGAGGGGCGTTCCGTGTTTCTCTGTATTTCTTCCCTCTCATGTTTCTCAATTAGCCACCATTTCCCTGCCACCCTCCGGGAAACATGCTGCCTCGTGTTTACCCCGGGGGCGTCAGCGGAACAGCAAACACTTCCCCCTTGTTCCATGCCGACCCGGGACTTCGAACGTATTGCATAGGAACCTTTGTCAAAACGCGCGTAAATGATAAGGCAACTCTTTTCAGGCATAGCTCGGATCGCACCTCAGTCATCTGGGTCAACCTGACGAAAACTGGCAGTACCACGTCGCGTAGCGTGCCCAGTAGCCGGTCTTTGTAGCCCTCCAAGTCCGCATTATCTGGACGAGCCAGCAGGATGCGTTAGCAGGCGCACTCACAGGAAGGTAGCAAGGGTTTGGATAGGACAGCATGCCGCTCACTTGGGTCTCAGCGTGACACCACTTACTGAACTGTTTTATAAAGAGGCCACCCGACTAGGCATTACATGCATTCAGGGTTTTATCCCCCACGTGTCTTGTAGCTGCATGACCAAGGGCAATAGCTTGTCACCACCTACGTTGGCTGAGAAGAGCCATGCGGTCAACGGTCATGTCAAGCTCGGTGCGCAGCGCCTCGTTAGTCTTGCGGGCGACCTCCAACAACTGCATGTTATCGAGGTGGGGACCAGAAATTTTCCGAGGGTCGTTTCACTGTAATATGTGGAGTCCCCATGCATCTTTTTGAGCATAGCGAACACCGTATGCAAAACCATGGCAGACCTTTCGGTGGTCACACACAGCATCCTCGTTTGCATCCAGCATGGCCAAACATTTGTCGAGCTCAAGCATGTTAAGCTCTGTCTGCGCATGGGCGTCTTCGGCTGCCGGTCGCTCAGGCAACTTGACGTCCACCTTTTTTCCGCCAACACAAAGTGCCTGGCGTAAACACGTCAAGACCCTTGACCATATAGACAGCAGCAGCCATGCTGGCAAACTAACGGGAAGGCTGAGGAGCCACCCAATGGTGATTGACATCGGGGCCCGCTGGACCACATGGATCGCTTCTGTGGCTATCTGACTCATTTTCCTTTTATATAATATTAGCTATAAGTTGGGCAAGGAGGCGAAGGGGAAAACCGTTTGCCTTTCGAGCTGTCTTCCTTAACCAGCACGAGAGAGCCAACGCGTCATGCTGTCGATCGCATGCATGGTCATCATAGTAAAAAGTCTCATGATAATGTACAATAGGAAAGCTTTGGCTAACATGGACAAGTCTTGGAAAAATCCTCATGTTACAGATATACACATATACCGTACACGACTATGAATCCAGGACAGGAGCCGTTGGCTGTAACCCTCGCCCTTGCGTGTGCACGCCTATCTCCTTACTATACCGACGCTCTTCTATCAGCTCGAGCATAGCTAGCAATCTAGCTGCTCATGAATCCATGTTTATTGACCCATGTTTATGTCCGGACGACCGTGCATCGCTCAATAGCACACAGCAAGTTTTCATGCAAACCTATTATATTGCATTGCCAAATGGCTCACGCCGCGCGGCAGGCTGGTGTTTTCCACACTGGCCATGCGCTGTTAGAGTAGCAGTCGCCGAGTTCTGGTAGATCACACACGGAAGCAGTATTGAGCCGGACGGTCATGGAATCATTGGCTTTTGCCCCTACAGTGAAGCGGCACAGCGCGGCAACCGGCTGGGTTGCGTCCTCCGATAGTTCGATCGACTCTCCATCTAGCCAACAGCCCCTGTCTGCAAGTGACCGGCCTTGAGGACTTTGCACGTTGACAAATTTTCCCTCAAACTTCCTTATCGTAGTAATAACACCGCAACATTCTTGAAACCTCTTTACAGACCTGGTACTCCATATGGGCCAGGGAGATGTGAGCCCTACATCCGCAGCTGCCTCCCCTTCCGCACCCCTATCCTTTGCACCACGCATTCCAAGTCGGGGAAGGCACGCCGCCATACCATCATAGCGTGGCATGACTGCTGTGAAACCCACTTCCCAACCCAGCACTGCGTGAGACAGCGAGAGAGACCCACGGTCCATAGCGCTTGGTTCACGACGGACGCACGTGCACTGGAAAGCCGCCTTGCCAAGCCTTCCTTTCCCCCAACCAACCAACCCCTTTGCCGCACCGCTGTATCATTTCATCCACTCATTACCACCTGTGGGTTTCGTATAATTGGTGGTTTCATTAAATTAAGCCTTTCATACCTTTTTTGTCTCTGATGGGGCGGGGGAGCCCCAGGTTCGGTTTTTCTCAAAGGGGAAAATGGCAAAAGGGCTTGGAGATCCTTTGGGAATATTTATGAAGTTAGGTGTGGGGGAGTCCCCCCGCTTTCCCCTCCCGCTGTCTCCTACGCGGCAAAAGGGGAGAAGAAAGGAGGGAGAGGGGACGAGATACGAGGGACGGGAGAGGAATAGGGAGGAGACTTGCTGCGTGCCAGAGGTTCCGTATTCCCCTGCCCGTTTCCATGACTACCTCTCCCTCCCTCCCTCCCACTCCTCCCTCCCCCCCCCACCCGGCCTCCCGCGTATGGGCATCTGGGTGTGTCCCTCGCTTACGGCCTGGCTCGAAGCTGCGAGAGTGGTTGAAGCCCGGCAGCCACGACCACAGCCACAACTGCAGCAAAGGCCACAAGTGCAGGCGCCACAACAGCAGTAGCCAGCGATACCAATGACAATATACACGACTGCTCCACAGAGGTTGTTGCGGGAGGAGGTGGCGGAGGGTGAGGGAGTAGGGATGGGGGACGGAGGCTTGTCACCGGGAAGATGGGGGGAAAGACGAACCACAAACGAGTGAAGCTGCTGCCATGGGGGGGGGGGGAAAGGGGCAGGGAGGGAGGGAGGGGTTATGGGTCCGAGGGGGCTGTGCCGGCGAGTCGGGGAGACAGCGGCCGGGCGAGCGAGAAGGCTGGGGGTACCGGTGGAAGGGTGGGTACAGACCGGGAGGGGAGGGGGAGAGGTGAAGTGAGCACCAAGAGGATGTAGGATTCAGAAGTGGTAGGAGTCGGCAGGTGGCAGTAGCGAGGGCGTGGATGAGGGGGAGGTTGGTGGCCAGGAGTGGCCGTAGTTCCAGGTTCGTGCGTGCTGTAGGGCTGCTGAGTTCTCTCGGGGAACGAGGCCGGGGTCCTCGTGCTGCGGGATGCAGTGAGGTAGGGCTTTGAGAGCCAGCCGTATTGGTAGAGCGGTAAAGGGGGGGCCACCGAGCTGGCTACCCTTTCCCCCCCGTACGTTTTCTCTGTGGCCTGGTCGCCGGGTGTCATGGCAGGGAGGTCCTATTTTTGGTTATGTCAGGTAATAAGAAACCTAACTAGATCTAACGGCCATTTGCGCACCTTTCGAGTTGGGGCCCAGCGCTATGTAGGGGGGCCATGGACACGTGAGGTGATACCTCCCCTCTGCGGTTGATACCTTCCCTGGACTAGCCCAGGGAGGGAGAGGCGGGGGTGGGAAGTGGTCTGGGCAGGCTGTTTGGCGTCTTGTGGTGTGAGCTCTCTTTGTGCTCTTTCTGTTTGAGATTTGTATGATTCGTCGGGCTCCCGGTCGCCCTAGTCCTGGACGAGACGTTTCTCTCTATGACAGGGTGGTACAGCGTTTGTATACTTTCCGCCCGTAGGAAAAACACCCCGGGTGCGGCTTCGTTTCTGTTGGGTGACCAGCGGACCCATCTAGAACCCATCTAGCTGCAGCGCGACCCCCCGGTGGAGAACACTGCTTAGTACCGGCCTCTGTAACTCGCGCGGTCAGACCGGGGGGCGGAATGCACGACACTAACCAGCCGTGTGCGTCTGGTGGCCACCCCCGCGGTGTTTCGGCCCCCGGCTTTCAAGCCCACAGTGTAATCAACGTCATACCTGTACGGCTGGTTAGTTATTGCTTGCTTTCTTCTGCTGTATCAGTCTATCCTTGGCATCAGCTTCACTCGTTCACGTGGTTCGTATTCCCACAATCCACGGCATGGCCTCCTCCCTGCCCACCTGCACAAGTTCGGGTTCTCAAGCTTCCCAGGACTGACGTCGCCAGCCCGGTAGTCCGGATGCCGGGGCAAGAAGGATATAGGTGGGGTCTGGGGGAAATGGAAGCTGGGGAGTTTCGTGGTGGCCGACTGGGAGAGCATGTGTGTTTGTGTGTGTGGAGTGTTTGTACGGGGGCACTGGTATTGCGGGAGACAACAATGCCCCGATTGGGCATCGTCAATGCATTAACCCATAAATTAAACCTACAATCTAAACCTTCCGAACTAAAATCTTATAAACTAAAACCCTTCAAACACGGCTTGGGGTGTTCAATATGGTCTCTCGGTGCTGGACTGGGGCCCGGTGCTGGACTGGGGCCCGGTGCTGGACTGGGGCCCGTGTATTTTCATTGCATGGATACGGAAGTTTTCCGCACGTCCGCGGAAATTCCCACAGACTGTTACCTTGTGCGCGTGCGACGATGTGGGTTGCAAGCTACCCGATGGTAGAGGAACGGATGACTCAAACGCGCGTCTGTGCATGGGTGCATGATTTCGTTCATGTACCGCAACGTTGCAGCGGTTGCATAAACAGTTGCGTCAGGAGTAGCAATGGCGGTTGCGGCAGGAGTAGCAACTCTGCCAGGCAATGAATGTTCAACCAAAAAAATCATTCGCACAGGCAGAGCGTACCTGCGGCCTGCAGGAGCTTTCGATGTCCCAAGTTTATCGTTATAAAAATCCTCGGATCACATCTTACGGCGCAGGCGATGGCGGTGCT